CAGTTCTACAGAGGAATCATCGAGTCTGTTCTCTGCACCTCCATCACTGTCTGGTTTGGCTCAGCAACCAAACAGGACAAGTACAGACTTCAACGGACAGTCAGGACTGTAGAAAAGGTCATTGGTGCAAGCCTGCCCTCCATGGAGGACCTGTACACCTCACGGGTCAAAAGGAGGGCAGACAGGATCACTGCAGACCCCTCACACCCGGGACACAAACTGTTCGAACTCCTCCCCTCTGGACAGTGTTACAGGTCACTGTACACCAAGACAACCAGGTACAGGGACAGTTTCTTCCACTGAGCTGTCACTCTGATGAACACTTGACCCACGACAGTATGACTGGTCAATAACCCTCAGTGCCTGTAAATATACATTGTACAGATTATACAGATCCGTACAGGTCTCTATTTTTAAGTACTCTATTTTTTATTCCTATTTATCTCATTTCATAATGAGTATTCCTTTGTCTGTCTGAATTGTTTACTGCCTATTTATGCTGCTTATTTTGCATTGTTTGCACTGTTAGTTGTTTGTTAATACTGCTTATTTTGTTATATTACACAGCCTTATGCTGGTTTACTGTTTACTTGCCGCTTGCATGGGGATATGTACATACGCATTGAGAGCTGATGTACCAGAGTCAAATTCCTTGTGTGTCCAACACACCTGGCCAATAAACCAGATTTTGATCTTCGAATGGTTCCATCAAGATTTCCGTAGAATACCTTCAAGGTTCCCCATAAAGTTTCCCTAGTTCCTATTAAGGTTACTTTGAGGATTCACTAAGGTTCCTATGACCTTTTCCCATAACTCCTGTAATTTCACTCATGCTCTGTTAAATTTCGGATAGGATCCTCTATGGTTCCTCTAAACTTCTACACCAATTCCCTAAAGTTCTTGTTTCTGCCTCAGGAGGAGAATGAGATCCCTGCCAGTGTTTTTGTAAAGGATCCTCCTCCTTTCCCCCGGGATGAGATTTTGGAAGAAGGTGAAGAACCAGGGCCAGGAGCTGCTGATGGGAACCATTCTGAGGAAGGTGGGCTCCACACCATCGAGCTATCATCTGATGAGGATGTTGGGCTGGAGGCAGAGCTAGATGATGAGGAAGCATGGCCTCATGATCTGGAGAATATGGAGAAGTCTAGAGCTGAGAAATTTAAACGATCAAGTCTGAAGAAGGTAAGAACCACAGACAGGTGTACAAACAGACACACAGGTGGACAGATAAACAGATTGTCCCTCTCTCTGTAGGTTGACAGTCTGAAGAAGGCGTTCTCCAGACAGAACATCGAGAAGAAAATGACAAAGATCGGAACAAAGATCGTTTCTGCAGAACAACGAGAGAAATTCAAACAGAAAACTTCGAGCCTGAAGGTTTCTCCTCTAACCTTCAGCATCCGGAAGGTACGGCAATTTCTGTTATTATTATTATTAATCATATGCCACAATTCTAAATACTACCAAGTCTTCTGTGTTCCTCTAAGGTTCCCCTAAAATTTTCTTACAAAATGGTCTTGAACATCACCCTTACTTTGCCACAAGGTTACCGAAGGTTGGAGTTACCTAAAGCCTATTATTAGGTTCACTTTATGTTCCTTTAAGGTTCTCTTGAGGTTCCATTAAGATTCCCCTAACATTTCTCTAAGGTTCCTCCAACATTTCTGCTTGTGTTTTCAGCCTCGCAGCAGCTCTGACTCTCAGCCTGCTGAGGCCTCTGCTCAGCCCGAGGAGTTGATCATCACGGAGGCTGACGTCCAGGTCTCCTCACTGGGTAGCACTGACCAGGAGGTCCCCTTCACTGAGGTCCACACCCATCTGGCCCCAGCCAAGCAGGTGGAGATGGAAGTTGAGGAAGGCAAGGAGGTATCAGGTGTGGTAGAGGCAGATCTGTCGGTGGTTTCAGAGGGATTCAGCCAGGAGTATGCTCTGTCCTCCACCCTTCCTCAGGAGGAGAAGGGAGAGGAGCTAGAGGAATCCTAAATTCTTGCTAATATTCAGATAAACAGAGGCTAAATAATGACAAATCTGAGCTGCAATCAAAGTCTAGACCTGAGTTTTCATATTCAGGTAAATCTTCTTCTCTTTATCTCTGAGGTTCCAGTTGATCACACTCTCAAGAAAGCATGAACGTACAGGCAGCAGCTGAAACTTAAAAGTTCCTCTGAGGTTCCACCAACATTGTTCTATGTTTTAATTTCCTCCAGTTTCCAGCCTTTATGCTAAGATAAGTTAACCAGCTGCTGGCTTGATGTTTACAGACATGAGAGTGGGATCAACATCAAATCCGAGAAGGACAAGAAGAAAATTAACTAAATGTGAACTGCTCCTTTAAAGTTTGATTTGATTTTTGATTTATTTATTCTTTCAAGCATGTAAAGACAGTTGATATGTCGACACACATAATTTTACACATATCCAACAAATGCTAATCCAATATCAATTTGCTTATACCTAGTACATGCTTGAATGGAGTAGGAAGAAGTCAGACTTATCCAGTCCTACTCCCTGACATCAATCTTACCTTCATTGGTTTGCAAGCAGTATCTCTACATAGATAATTCTCTTCTACACCACACAAGTAATATACTAAAGAATTATAACAGTGTTAACATTCGTACATAATTACATTCTTAAATACTTATCTTCTACACCACACAAGTAAAATATTAAAGAATTATTACAGAGTATTAACATTCATACACCAGCTTTTAACATTCCACTAACGTTCCTGTGACGTTCCTCTAATGTTCTCCTGAGGTTCTGATCTGGTTTGTTGTTTTGTTCACTTTGTTCTTTTACTGTATGAGTTCTCATGATACTCTCTTGTGTTCTATCTGAAACATTTTTGAGCAATAAATGAAACCAGCTCATGTCTAGTTACTGATTTTCATTATCTAGCAATCGATTGATAATTTCAGTCTTCTACAACATGTAAATGTATTTTATTGGATTTGCTGATTTCTACACTGATCAGTAACTATCCTGATGTTTGATTAGCTACTTTTTAATGACACAGAAGTACAGTATTAATAACTGTAACAGTGACAATTAAACTGATCAACAGACCTCATCAAACTGATTGATCTGTGACAGAGTCAATTGGAAACATCTGCCACCAGAAACACACTGATCATTTATAAAGTTAGTTTTGTTTGTTTTGTTCAGGTTTAATGTCACTACTTGGTGCCAAAGAACATTTCCTACTTGATGCAAGTTACCTGTTAAGCAAATAGGTTCAACATGTGTGTGCCCTGCACATGAACCCATGCTATAAACAATAAAATCAACACAACATGTATTTCCTGTGTCTCCTTTTAATTTTCTATATGGTCACATCTTATGTCAGTAAGATGCATACTTGTATTTTAAACTTTTGGTCAGTGAATGGTGTATCACCTCCTGTAAAGCACTTTGGCCAGTGCAACACACTGTGGAAAAATGTATATATAAATACAGTCCATTAACCATTTAGTATAAAAATACCACAGGAAAGGTCTTGCACTCAAAACTTCACTTAAGCATGAGTAGAAAGAATAGAAACATGTTAGTAACTATAAAGATCAACTGTTATCACACATTATAAAATGGTAAATGGTCTTATACTTGTATAGCGCCTTTCTATGCTTTTTACAGCACACTCAAAGCGCTTTCACATTATTCGGCCATTCACCCATTCGCACTCCCAAGCACTCACACACCGGTGACATCATCGGGAGCAACTGGGGGTTCAGTGTCTTGCTCAAGGACACCTCGACATGTTGACTGGACAAGCCAGGAATCGAACCGCTAATCCTCCGGTTAGGAAACGACCCGCTCTACCTCCTGAGCCACAGCCGCCCCCCCTTATATTATATTATATTATATTGATGGCTTATGAATCAATGTGTAAGCAGCATTTTAAATGACCAGACAGAAAATAAAATAGTTGATTATACTTTAATTCACTAGCACACATCTTTGGCCAGGTGCACTGATAAACACATCAGCTCCAGGGGAGCTACGACTCACAGGTTATCTTTAGGTATTTTTTGAAAGAGTTTTACTGTGTATTTTATGCAGTATGAACTCTGCTGTTCTTCTGTGGTTACACAGAGCTTCAATTGATCTAAGTGGAGTGGTTTGTATGTGTGTGTGCACGCACACGTGTGTGTTTGTTTGTGTGTGTGTGTGTGGGGGGTGGGGGTTTTTTTTAGTACTATTGCACAGTACTACCAGTACTGCATGTAATACCCCTGACTCCGCAGGACTGGCCTCCTTCTGCTTCTCTGCCTAGACATGGATTCAGTAGCACCTCCCAGCCTCTCTCTGTCTCAGTCTTGTCTCTGTTAGCATGTAGCATCCAGGTGTTAGCTGCCATCCTGCTAACACACAAGTATGGTGGGCAGAGCTCTGCAGAGGACAAATGGATCCTGCATGGCTCTTCTATGATGTCATCATACACCTTACACTGGTATGACCAATCAGAAACATTTTTATATATCATACAGTTTGTACTTGGTTGTTACTGTTTTGTTTCTGAGTTCTGGGTCCATTTGTTTCCATCTCTGCTTGTTTGTTTGTTGTGTATATTTTTAGGAGGGTCCATTTACAGTATTTACATGTCTCTGGTTGAGACAGTGGAGGCATCTGAGAATCCTCTGGCTGAACTCTGTGAATTATTGTACTACTAGTACTTTCTTGTTCTGTTACTTCAAAATACATTTCAGAAGTAAAAGTACTACAGGTGAAAGTACTCATTAAACACATATAGTATAAAGATACACAAACACACAGATCATTGTGTGCATGTGGTGCACTGTGGTGATCATATACAGTTTTCCTTATTTTCACTGTCATGTTTTTCATTTAATTTTGGTCTTTAAAAGATATTTACTTATCACATCATCATATTTAATTCAAAGTCAAATCAGTTCTGGATTAAAGCCACAAGGGGGCTCACATACAGTCAGCAGCCTTTCCAACACTCACAATAGTGAATAATCTTTTAAGGAATTCCTGTATCAAACCTATGACATGGGTCAGCACCAAAATCTAATCGCTTGTTCCTTGGGGCACACCCTACCTCTCCAAAAAAATTCATCCAAATCTATTCATTGCTTTTTCAGTTTATGCTGTTAAAACACAAACAAACAAACAGTGGCAAAAACAAAATCCCCATCCTTGGTGGAGGTAATAACTATTCCATTTTATAATTTTGAATTGTTCCCCTCCTTGCAGCCCCTTTCTTCATCTTCCTCCTCCAACTTCCTCCCTCTCTTTCTCCTCCCTCCTTTTTCTCTTTATCATCTTCCTCGTCCTCCTCCCTTTCTTCCTCTTCTCAGCTCTTCTTGATCAGAGTACTGACAGAGGTGAAGGCCTGGTGGATGCCAAGTCCCTTCAGAGCACTGCAGGCTTGAATCTCCCATGACCGGTCATTGCAACTGGGGAGGTCCAGCTGGGTTGAGACCTGGGGAGGGGGGAGAAGAGGATGACACAGGGGATGAGAAGAAGAGGATGACACAGCTCCATCTACAGGCTCTTCAAGTATAAATGTGTGAAGCCAAAACCTCGTTTGTGTCAACCCCTCATTAGGACCCTTCTCCTTTCCTTGGCCCCTATCTAAGAAGCTTTCTCCTTCCATGCAGGAAACAACATGGTCTTGTTCAGAAACCCTTCCATCTTGGTAAAACCTCTCTACCTCTCTAACCCAGGCTTTTCTGGATCATCATTACGGGTCTTAGGATTTCATACCTCTTGTATGTTCATGGCATTTGGTAGATCATTCTTGTTAGCCAGAACCATTAGAGGAACTCCATGCAACTTCTCATCACTTAGGACCTTCTTCAGGGCCTTCTGAGCCTCTGGCAGCCGACCTGGATCACTGCTGTCCACCACAAACACCAGAGCCTTACAGTCATCCAGGAAGAGCCTGAACAAAAAGATGTTTGTTTGTTTGGCTGTTTTTGTTTGGGGGTTGGTGGTGCTAATATTTTTACCTCCAGTTGGATCTCATGCTTTTCTGTCCACCGACATCCCACACAGTCAGAGATGTCTTCTTGTCTAGGTCTAGATTTCCCACATTGAATCCGATGGTTGGCGATGTGTCCACCACCTGCAGGGTCACAGGTAATGATTCTCACATGGACAAACTGATAATTACACCTTGAAGTATCTAATTGTCCACAAGACAATCTCACCTTTCCTGTCAGCACTCTGGCCAGCAGGGTTGTCTTTCCAGCCGAGTCCAGACCCATCATAATCACCTGAACACATGTTAAAGAACACATTACAGTTAGTCTGGTTCATGTTAAATAATTCGCGTCTCCAGCAACGATGAACACAAGATGTTAAACATGAGTTTAACAGTAGACTTGTGTAGACCAGTTCAGTAGTCCAGATTAACTGGTGGATCAGAGCTTTGCAGTGGTTTTCTGCTGGTGTTACTGGGTCAATTCATGACAGATAAGTCACAACTTATTTCAAACACAATGAGCACAAAGTGAACTGTATTTTTTCATTACTTTGAAGATTTAAATGGATTTCTTGATTCAAACATTACACTGTTTTAACCGACCAGAACATTTAAAACATCAACAGAGAGGAACAACTGGTGAGATGACACTTGAATTTCAGGTGAGTTTACCTGAGGAGAGATGGAGGAGCGAGTCTGACCCATCACTCTTCTTTTTTTATCCTGTAAAGGGTTTCTTCCTCAGTCTCAACAAAAATCCATTTAATGTGAAACCTGCAGACCGATTGATCTGAGCATGTCTGAACCTCACCTGTATAACGTCCATTAGTTGTGATCAAGTCTATTCATGCTGTCGGCAACAGAGGAGCAGCAATCCAGTCATGTGACTGTGTGACAGGTCTGACTGCATTTCTGTTTCAGAGGCAGGTCCAAGCTATTTTCACCCCAGACATTTAAAATCCACAGGGAGGAAAACAACATTTGGGGGTTTGTTAAGTAAAATTGTGCCAGAACCTGGCTCTGATGATTTACATCCACATTTACATTTACAGCAGCTGTTACCTGTTTAGACTGACTCAGAAATGAAACACAAACTCCATCAGAAACACTGTCTGCTGCTTTGTATTAAAGATTATATAGGATATAGAAAGTCAAAACAATACGATAAAAAGTTAGATAATGAGAGTAAATACAAACACTGCTGCTTCATAACACATATGTTTATTAATATTACTGCTGAGGAGTTTTTTTTCACTATATAATAAAATACCTACAAGTGTGACAAAATTCTTGAATCAGAAACACTTTTCTGCACCTCCACTTCCCTGAGTGTCAGAGGGGAGGAGGAGGAGCGGTGTCCGGTGAGGAGGGGGAGGGTCTGTCTTCCAGTATAAATTCAGCTGTTCCCGCCTCTTCGCTCCCTTTTCCTACGGCAACTTCTTCTATCTTCTTGTTTGTCATGGGCTTCGGTGACCTGAAATCGGCTTCCGGCCTCAAAGTGCTGAATGATTTTCTGTCGGACCGCAGCTACATAGAGGGGTCAGTACACTAGGGTCCGCAGCAAAACAATAGAAACTAGTAGAATTTGCTGCCGATGCACCGCCATCTTGGCTCTGCGCTGAGCTAATACGGCTAACAGTTAGCCGACAGAATGAACGCTTAGCACAGAGTTTAAATGTGAACATAAGTGCGACATGAAGTTGCAAAATGATTCAGTGTGAGAGATGCGCGAACAGACGAGCGAGGATTGGATTTAAGGTCTGTTACAGTTCATTTAGTTTAGTTGGATGTGAGGCAGCTCCATGCTGTTGGTTAACGTGGAGCCACATGTTACTAACTGTAGCTACGTGTCTGTAGTGCCAGTGTTGCACCGAAATTTGCGAAATGTCAGATTTAGTTACTACAGGGGCGACGTTGCACATTTTTACTATTTGTTGTGTCGACAATGAGCCAGAATTAGAGCGTGTGCGGCCCGTCAAACTATCATGTGAAAATAAATCATGATTTTAGTCCTCCCGTTGGTATCGACTTTATTTGGCTGATCCTTTACAACATCATAGAGTGGCTTTTGTGTGTGTGTGTGTGTGTGTGTGTTCTATTTCGAGTCCCTTCTTGTTTGCTATGGTGATGGACAGGTTGACAGATGAGGTCAGACAGGAATCTCCGTGGACAATGATGTTTGCGGATGACATTGTGATCTGTAGTGAGAGCAGAGAGCAGGTGGAGGAACACCTGGAAAGGTGGAGGTCTGCTCTGGAAAGAAGAGGAATGAAAGTCAGTCGTGGTAAAACAGAATACATGTGTATGAA